TAAAATTTTCCATTCTCTGCTCAAGCCAGTGTTGAGCTGGTTTCTGACCCTTAGAACCTGGGGAGCTTTGAATTGCAGCCCCGCCTACCTCTGGAGCGTGCGCTTCAGGTCCTTCAGTCTCGTCTTATGCTTGCGGATGGAGCTGCTACACAAAGTCTGGAGCGCAGTCAGCTCCTCCAGCTTCTGCCTGTAGATCCTGTGAGTTTCCTGAGGGATGGAGCAGCCCGGGCAGGGCGTAGGAGAGAACACAAACAGGTCATTTGTCATAGTTTGTTTGTGTCAGGGGACATGATTGCAGAGCTCACAATTTGACAGCTAGGACGATACAAGTACGACTATCAAATCTGTGGCTTAGAAAAGTGGGTCTGGAATCGGGGAAGGCGGCACAGCACAGCCCTTGTGTAATAAGGAATTACTGTTTTCTTTCTTACCCAAGTCCCTTCCTTCCTAATGGTAACAGCAACTAGGTCTGACTTTGAAGGGCCACTTCTTGTCAATTCTTCGTCCAGATGGTTCCAGTAGAGCTGGCAATCCCCAGGCCAAGAGTGGTCATGCGATCTAGGCCTAACCAATCAGTATCTTCCAATCCCTTGGCAACTGACTGGTTCAGACATGGACACAAGGCTTAAATGGGCCAATGAGAGTAAGTCCTGGGACCCTGCTGGAAGAACTGGTGTAGAGATGCCCTCTTTCTCCTGAGTTTGCTCATCTGATAGCATGTACACATGGGCTTGCTGGGTGGGGAGGGCCTGTCTACGCATAAAGCCAAACAGGAAAACAGACCTGAGACATGGTGAGAGACAGAGTTCTCAGAGCCTCATTTCAGCCCTTGGATCTAACCAGGTCTGAGTGTCATGCTATTCAATACTCTTGGTTATATGAATTCATAAATTCCTTTTCAGTGAGGCCGGTCTGAGTTAGGTTTCTGATCCTGGCAATGAAGAGAGTTCTTACCACATCAGCTAAGGAAAGGTCATACCCCCCTTTCCCTTACAGCCAACCCTGCCTACCCCTGGCACAGTCGCTCCAATGAACTCAATACCTCATTCCTGGAAATAACCAGTCAGGGCCACAAGAAATACAAGAGACTTTGCCCCAAAACTGGGAGAAAGGAACACAGTAACTTCTCGGCATTGCTGCCCCAACAATGCACCTCCCCCAGATAATGCCACGTGCCGGGAAACAAGCCCTTGCCTCTGATCTGATCGTCTAAGACAAATACTAACCATTTGGAGAAACCAGTGTGAGGGACGGGAGCCATGAAATTAAATACAGTAATCCAATGAACACATGTAAGTGGCTGGAGGAGAACTGCATTTGGGAGAGGGAGAGGAAAAGGAGATGGTCCAACAGTGAGGCCAGAGCCTAAATTCCCATTCATGCCGGCCAAGCAAGGTCCCTAAATATGCAGGGAAAGCCAGAAGGTAAGGGAGAAGTGAAGAAAATGAAGTGAGTAGATAGCAATTAGGGGCAACACTGAAGCACGCGGTGAGCAAGTCTCCTTTGACTCCCAGACGGGAGGGCTCAGTCCCTCGGATTCAAACAGTATCATACAGTTGCTCCTTGCTGGCCCCCCAGAGAGGAAAATCTTATCTCTATTTCATTTAACTTTGTATCTTTCAATAATTTCACACTTGCAGAAGAATTCTAAAGAAGAGTAGAAAGAACTCCCCTCTACCCTTCACCCAGATTCACCAACTGTTAGCATTACACCGTCTTTCCTTATTTGCTTTCCGCACCACCACCACCACCACCACCACCCTCGTGTGTGTGTGTGTGTGTGTGTGTGTGTGTGTGTGTGTGTGTGTGTTCTTTTTCGATTATCAGGCAATAGGAATTTATAGCCCACGGGCCAAATCCAGCCAAATCCAGATTTTTGTGCGGGCAGTAAGTTAATGGTTTTTCCTTGGTTGAAACAAATCAGAAGAATAGTTCGTGACATGAAAGTATACGAAATGTGAAATTTCAGTAGCCGTAATAGAGCCCAGCCACACCCGTTCATTTGCATATTGTCTGGGGCCTCTCTGGAAACTACAACAGCAGAGTGAGTAGTTATGACAAAGACCATATGGCCTGCAGAGCCTAGAGTCCTCACTATTTGGCTTTTGTGCCAAAAAAAAAGTCTGCCTCCTCCTTTTCTAAACCATTTGGGAGTTAGCTATAGATAGACAACATGCTTCTTTACTCCGCAATCCTTCATTGTGCATTTCCTAAGAATGATGACATTCTCTTACATCCACAGTACAATCATCAAATACAGACAATGCAACCTTGATCCCACACAATGCCATGACCTCACATCTTGCTAACTGTTCATTGATGGCAATGTCCCCCCAGATCCCGGACCCGACTCAGTCTCCTGCCTTGTCCTACTGCTTGCATCATTAGCCTCCTTTAGTCTAGCACAGCTCCTCAACCTTTCTCTGTCTTTCGTGACATCCACGTTTTTTAAGGAATTGAGTCTAGAACTGGGGCGTGTCCCTCCGCCTGCGTTGGTCTGTTGTTTCTTCATGGTTGGACCTGGGTTATGCTGTTGGAGCAAGAATGCCACTAAAGTGACACTGTGTCCTCAGCGTCTCCCATCCGGAGGGACACAGTGTCCGTGATGTTAATGCTAACTGCTTAGAGGAGGCGGTGCCACCTGCTTTCCCCGTTGCACAGCGACCAGCTTTCTATCTGTAGTTAATAATAAGCGATCTGTAGAGAGACGACAGGCTGTTTTAATCACTTTTGAATTCTTCAGTCCCAAAACAGCCATCCACTTACAACCAATATCTACTGCAGTCTAGTCAGGGGGTCTCCATGGGGAAGACGGGGGCAGAGACCCCCTGACTACGGTCCTCAAGAAGGTGGGGCCGTTGGACTGAGTGTCCGGGCAACACCAGCTGCGGCTCCTGGAAGATAGGAGCCATGGGACCTCCTTGGCACTCTTTGGGGTTGGGTGCCACCACGGGGAGATAAGACCAAGACTGCAACATCAGCAGCCAGATGCTTACCAGGCCCTCTTCAGCTTGAATTAATATTTAATTTCAAAGTAAAATGGGAAGACGTTATCCTTATAAAACATTAAAACACAACAGTTATGGCTGGAGTCAGCTTTGAATACATCCCTGTCCTTCTCCCCCATCCCCAGAAGTAACCACAGTTGCCAGTTGCTTCTAGACCTTTTCCTATGTATTCTTCCAGACTGTTCTATGTATCTACCTATTTCTATATTTTATATAGACCTATTTCTATATATACACATAAATATATAGACATATATGTGAAAAACACACTTGCAAACACTAATTGTCCCTAATATTTATTCTCCTTTGCTACGTTTTAGCAACAGGACCCCACAGACTTATAGGTAGACATGTGGCCTACAGACTACATTTCTCAGTCTTCCTTGCAGCTAGAGGTAGCAGTCTGACTAAGAGGGAGGTGGACAGAAGTGATGTGTAGTAGTTCTGAATTACATTTTTATAAGGGACTGCTTGGCCTCCACTCTCCCTTCCCCTGGTTGGCATATGGCAGCTACGGGTCCCGTTACATTGAAACCAGAGATGAAAGCTACATGATACAAACAGCAAAGCCCACTGTGCCTTCCCTCACCAAACCAACAAGGATCCCACGTGACCTCATATGGCGGAGCTTCCAACCTGTAATGGTTTAAAAACTTGATCGCCCATCCTTCAGCAATCCTCACATCGAGAGGTGGGGGTCTCTGTTCTCTCCCCTTAAATATACGTAGGCTTGTGGCTGGTTTGACCACATAGCTAGATAGAAAGATAGATGATAGATACATAGATAGAGCAAAAGTGACACTATACTTTCTGAGAACATGTCGTAGAAAGACATATGCTTTGGCCTTACGTACGGAAACACTCACACTTAGAGCAAAAAGTTCAACTACCCTGAGGCTACCATGCTGTACAGAAACCCTAATCACATGGAGAAGGCACAGGTAGACATTCTGATAAACAGTCCTCACCGGAATGACAAACCTTCTTGTCATTCCAGCTCAGGCACAGAGGCACAGGAACCTCCAGATGACTCCAGCCCCCGCCACGGGAGTTACTGCCAGCTATTCAAGTCTTCCCAGCCACGGGCTCTTGGCATCACAGAGCACAGTCAAGTTATCCAGACTATGCCCTGTCTAAATTCCTGACCCACAGGATCCATGAGCAAAAAAGGAGTGATTGCCGTTTTATGCAGTGACAGGTAACTGGAATACCACTCACCCTGGACCACACCTCCCTCTGCACTGTTCTGAGAGAAAGAAAGGCGATACCTCATTTCAGCCTTTTCTTATTTGGGGAATCTCTCTCTGTTATAACAGCACAGCTTATACCCTAAAGCACATACTTTTTTAAAACATATATATATTTCTTTATTGATTTCAGAGAGGGAGAGAGAGAGAGAAACATCCATGATGAGAGAGAATCAGTGACGGCTGCCTCCTGCACGCCCCATCACACTGGGGATCGAGTCCACAACCCAGGCATGTGCCCTTGGCCAGAATCGAACCTGGGACCCTTCAGTCCACAGGCCGAATGCTCTATCCACTGAGCCAAACTGGCTAGGTCAAGCATATACTTTTGATTTTGAAAATTATATAACAGTATCAGAACATACATCAAGAACATACTTTTGATTTTGAAAACTATATAACAGTATCAGAACATACATATGATTCCACAACTTTCTTTCCTTACTCAATAATATGCCTTGAAAATCTACCCATGTAAGAATACATTTACTTCATTTTTCTTTTCTTTAGTGCTGTGCAGTTTTTCATGCTGTGGACACGCTGCAGTTTAGTTAAGCCATTCCTCTATTACTGGATATTTAGGTTGTTTCCAGTCTCTGACTATACCTAACAATGCACCATTGCACTGCCTCCCTGGGCACACAGGCTAGTATCTCTCTGGGGAAGATTCTTTCTGGGGAAAGAAATGGAATTGCTGAGTCAGAGGGTACAGGCTTGTTTTCAGTTTTAATAGATCTTAGCAAACCGCCCACAGAGTGGCTGTACCAATTTACAGTCCCACCCACAGCATATGACAGTTGTTCACATCTTACCAACTCTCAATGCTATCAACATTTACTTTTTTTAAAATATATTTTATTGATTTTTTTACAGAGAGGAAGGGAGAGGAATAGAGAGCTAGAAACATCAATGAGAGAGAAACATCGATCAGCTGCCTCCTGCACACTCCCCA